CTTTTGACCACAATGTCGTCGATGTAAGCCTCCATCGTGCGGCCGAGCAATGGGGCGAACATCTTGGTCACCATTCTCTAAAAGGTTGCCCCAGCGTTTTTCAAGCCAAAAGTCATGACTCTGTAGCAGAATAGTCCCATCGATGTTGTGAAAGAGGTAATCTCCCGGTCGAGCTCATACATGGTGATCTGGTGATAACTGCGATATGCGTCCAAGAAACTGAGTCAATTATGTTCGGCCGTTAGGTCCACCAGTTGGTCCATTCTGAGCAAGGGAAAACTATCCTTGGGGCAAACTCGGTTGACTGCCTTATAGTCGACGCAGACTCGCCATTTCTCATTCTTCTTCGGTACCACGACCGTGTTGGAAACCCATCGAGGGTAGTGCACTTCTTGTGTTGCCTTTGCTTCAAGTAAGTTTTTGACCTCTTCAGCCACTACCTTGGTGTGATGAAGTGCCGATATCCGCGTTCTTTGAATGACTAGCCGGGCACCCAGAAAAACATTGAGTTGGTGGCAAATAAAGTTAGGATCGACGCCAGGCATGTCGTAAGGCATCCATACAAACACTTTGATATTCGTCACCAAGAACTCCACCATCTTCATCCGTTCTTAGACGGTCAGGCTGGATCCTAACAAAAAGAACTTGTCAGGATTATCGTCGCCCTCCACCAAATCTTCAACAGCCTGTTCTTCGGCCTTGGTGCCTACATCATCCAAGACACTTTGATCTTCCAGACCTTCGATCATTTGCACGAAACCTTTAGCTGCACGGCTCCCATTTACGACCACGAAACACTGTTTGGCCATGACTTGATCGCCCCAGATATCCCCAATCATCCCTATGGTCGAGGAAAACATCATGACTTGGTGGTAGGTCGATGCCATCACTTGCATAACATGAAGCCATCCCTGGCCTAAGATCAGATTGTACGTGGAAGGCACCTTCAACACCCAAAACTCCACTTGTTTGACCACGGATCACGCTTTGACCGGCAAGATGATCTTTCCTAGGGGCCATTCCGGTTGCGAGTTGAAGCCGACCAATGGCGAGGTTGCTGGGGCCAAGTCTTTATTACTCAACCTGAGTTACTTGAACGCGTCGTAGTACATTATTTCGACCGAGCTACCCTGGTCGATCAAAATTTTCCAAATCAAAGTCCTTGACGCGTAGGGTAACCACCAACACGTCGTTGTGCAACATCTGAATTCGTTCAAGATCCCGGTTGGAAAAACTGAGCACATCTTTCATCTCGATTTTGCCCTTTTTGACCGCGAGCTGAGCTGACAGGACTTCCCTCATATGCTCAACCTTCTTGATCATCCCTCAGAGCTCGCATACCCGAGCTGGCTCGATGAGACCATGGATCATGTTGATCACTCCTTATGGTGGCGCTTCTAAGGCGGCCAAACCATTTGGCTTGGCCGGATCATGATGCGCGGCCTTGACACCCTCATCAATGTAGCGGTCGAGATGACCAGCAGCCACTAACTCCTCCAAATGTTGTTTCAAAGGAAAACAGTCTTCTGTTCAATGCCCTCGCTCGCTATGGAAGGTGCACCGATACCGTGGATTGAAGCCCCTCTATGCGTCACCCAACTTAGCCGGAAACCAAGCGTACACCTCGTCACGGATTTCGCTAAGGATGCAATAGATTGGGATCTTAAAAACCGTGTGATGCCGGATTGGGCATTCAACCTTCTCTTTATATCCTCTGCGGCGTCACGTGGGTAATTAGCTTGGTCGTTGCGACGACCCTTACCCCGGTTGCCATGACCTGCACCACTATCTAATCCCCTCGCGCGGTCACTCGGACGATTTTCCTTCATCCGACCGCATGAACCTTTCTAGCAATTCTCTTGTCTGTGGCCACCAGATTCGCCTTCGCAGTGGCCGTAGTGGCATCATCCTCTACTCGGATGTGCTCGTTAATGCGCTGCATTAATAGCTACATGGTCGTCGGTTGGTTCATGGTAAGCGAGTCCCTTAGTCTATGCCCGACCGAGAGACCGCACTTGTATTGAGCGATTGCTAGGTTGGTCGGGCAATCAAGAATTTTGTTGAAGGTTTCCCAATATTTGGCATTGTATGCATTAAAGGAGTCGCCTGGTTTCATCTTGATGCTCAGAAGGTGATCGACTTCCTTCGGCATTTTAGTGTTGGTTTTGAATCGGGTTACGAACGCTTCTGCCAACTGTTGCCATCTTTCGATACTTTCCTCCGACAGCCTCTCAAACCATTTCAGGCCCAACTCACCCAAACTAGACCGAAAAATAAGGCACATCAAAGCGTCGTTATGCCTGTATCCAACCGTAACCTGCCGGAAGTGACTCACATGCATGTATGGATCTGTTTTTCCATCATAGAGAGTAAACTTGGGCTGGTGAAAGCCCGCAAGGAGCGGTGTGGTCTCTATCTCAAAGGAGAAGGGAGTGGCGCTCAGCCTTGCCAAATCTTTGTCCAAAGGGACATGTACAACTGGACGGGGTGGCGTCATTACAACTTCTTCACTGGTGCGACTTTCGTAAGATAACCGCCGCAGCACCGACACCCTTTACACCTCTCGTAGGCATGCTCGCTCTTCCAAGACGTCCATCAAGTCCTTCGAATGAGCGGAGTAGGAATACCTCGACGTCGTCGGCGGATGTGAGGGACCGTAACTGCTGTCTTGTGCGCAAGACTTCTCTGCTGGCGGGTCAGAGTCTCCAACCCCATAACTTATGGTGATGGAGAGAAAGGGCGTGTGCCGCTAGTTCTGGCTGCCTGAGCGACGGGGTTGGGTGTGCTCAATGTGGTTACCCACTCCAGCAACACCCTTCCCTTTGACCTGTCACTTTAGTGTCTCCATCTCTGCCGCTATCCTTCGAATGATGGCGTCTTGATCCCTCAGCTTATGCTCCAGGTGCTGAGCGTGTGACTCCTTTCACCACCGGTGCCCGTCAGGGCTTCGCGAATGGTTAGTGCTCCTTGCGCGCTTGTCTCGCGCATCTCTAGGGTGCTCTCCAGGAGAGGTCTCTAGACCAGCCATGGTTGGGATGGCGGGAAGACCATCTCTTCTCCGAACGGACTCCGGAGTGATGTCGTCGATAGCGGACAGCGGAATGTCGTCGTTGTTCGCCATGAAGGATGATCAGATGAGCTTAGAGGACAAGGTTGTCTGTCAAAGTCTTCCCACAGACGGCACCAATTGTACGGGAGCCAAATATCCGATACCGTCCGTACTCCTCGTGTCCAAGCTTCACTTTGTTCCGATTAACCTGCGAACACAACAGCGGTGAGCTACCCGGCGGTGTGTTGCCAGAAAACCCCTCTGACGATCAAGTTAGCACACCTTTAGAGAGAGAAAAGAGAGGGGACAATGTGGTAGTTGAGTTTTCACCAGTCCATCCCACGTATGGAGGCGCAGCCTTGTTTATATAGTTTTTGCCCGCGCTTTTGCACCTACTTCCCTTGGGACGAGTAGACCTGCTCTCCTCTCCCATTTCCTTACATGTCAGCGCAAATATAGCTAAACACCACCTAATAAAATCGCCAAACGACAATGGTGCGAACGGACCACACGACACCACTCCATCACTCCACGACCGTGTTACTTCTAGGATGTGCAATGCTCTAAACCGAGCTACGCCTAGCACGGCGCCACATCGTCACACCACAACTGTGCTAATTGTCCGATTTCATTAAAGAATCTCATTGCGGCTTAGTCGTCCTCAGTTATGACCTAGCTCCTGCTCGATTAGACTGATCTGCGAAAGACCTAACCCGTCTAACTCAACGAGCAAATAAAGTTAACTGGGCTGACATTCTGATGTTACCCCGGCTCTACCGAACCTAGGCCTTGACCGAGCGCACCCTACTTGCTCGGCCCAAACTTGCTTGGCCCAACTTAGTTCAGTCATTATCTCGGCCCAATGCCAATTTATGAAATCTCCCTCTCAATAAGGAAAGGGGCTTTGAAATGGAATGGGTACTTTAGAATTTTGATGTTAGCATATCCTTGGAATCGGAAGTGTGTGTTTGAGTCTCTGTCGTCTTTCTCCTGAAAATATACGAGACTTCCATTATTGATAAATGACTTCAGTATTTATGACAAATTAAATTGGATGAGATTATTAATAAAATGATAATTAATAAAGAGGTTATTAATGTGAAGATTGTTAGTGAATGGATTAAATAAAAACATGTTTTATTTTGATGATAGTGTATGAAATGGTTAATAATGAGATTGTTAAATTATTTTTATATAAAATAAATTAAAAATTATTTGTATATTAAAAAAACACTAAAACAGATATTAAAATAAATAATTGCATTTGATAAAAATAAATAAATTAATTAATTAATTAAAATAATAAATTTTTTATATAAAATAGACTCAATCCACTCATTATTTTTCTAATCTTATCCAAAATCTAACCAAACTAATCCTCCTCCTGAGTGAAGATTATTAAGCCCCTCACACGTAGGTAGGGCTGTGCAAAATACCACTCGATCCGCTAAAATCGCACCGATCCGCATCAATCCGCACCGCTCTAATTGCTAACCGCGGTTTAAACTTTAAAATTTATAATCCGCCAACCGAACCGCTCCGCTCCGCTATAGTTAATACATGTATATTTTTTAACTTCCAATGAAATATTAATATAAAAATAAGTGTGAGAGATATTTAAGATATGAAATTTATCACATTAGTAGTTATATCTATGAAACATTTTATATAAAATTACTTTGTATTATATATCTAAAAAAATATTATACAAATTAATATTATATATTATGCAAATGTATAATAATTAGTTAGAATATTCTTCAATCCGTCAATTCGCTAAAAATTATCCAAATCGCAATTTGACAATCCGCTAATTCACTAACCCGTCATTTAATTTATAGTTTTACTCTCAAACTATCCGACCCACATCGCACACCTCCCAGCACGTGAAACTCATACCCATACTAATCGAATCCAACCCTCAACCCCGCTAAACAGACATGGCCTTTGTCCTGCTCTACTTCGTCATCCAATAGCTTCTTTGTTTTTTTCATTGGTTTTTTGACCGAATGTCCGGTCGAACTTACCCGTAACTCGACCACGCATAATATCAAACAAACAAACATTCCCAAAAAAACGCATTAAAACCTACTGGTCCACGCTGTTTATTATTTGAAATTTATATATGATTGAACCTCAGTTCAATGGCATATCTGAGAAACACAATCACACAATGCAAAAACATGAGACAGCTCAAACAAATCCATTCCCAAATCATAACATCACCATACCTACCCGAAACAGATCGCTATTTCCTCATTTCTCGTCTGCTCTTCTTCTGCGCAATCTCTGATTCAGGTTGTCTCAGCTATGCCACTCATGTCTTCAGACTTCTACACAACCCAAATCTCTTTGTTTACAATGCTATGATCAGAGCGTATGCTAGTAAAATTAACAATGGGGATCGATCCAATTCATGTCAGGCCTTGGTTTTATATAAGCAAATGTTGTGTAATGGCATTGAACCTGACTGTCTAACATTCCCATTCCTTTTGAAAGATTGCTCAACAAGGACAGACTATGGCACGGGTCGAAGCATTCATGGGCATGCTATCAAGTATGGGTTTCATAATGATATATTCATTCAGAATTCGTTGATTAGTTTGTATTCTGCTTGTGGGTTTTGTAATAGTGCACGGAAGATATTTGATGAAATGTCGAGTAGAGATATTGTTTCTTGGAATTCAATAATTATTGGGTGTTTAAGAAGTGGGGATCTTGATTCGGCACTGGATTTGTTTAGGAGGATGAAGAGGAGAAATATCATTACTTGGAACTCGATTATAACGGGGTTTGTTCAAGGGGGTTGTCCAAAGGAAGCTATAGAAATTTTCCATGAAATGCAAATTCTAGGCGACGATATGGTTAGACCTGATAAGATCACCATTGCCAGTGTCCTTTCAGCTTGTGCCTCTTTGGGTGCAATTGATCAGGGGAATTGGGTTCACAGTTTCTTGAAGAGAAGTGGGGTAGAGTGTGATATAGCCATAGGAACAGCATTGGTGGACATGTACGGTAAATGTGGTTGCATAGAAAGAGCATTTGAGGTCTTTAAGGAAATGCCTAAGAAGGATATTTTAGCATGGACAGCTATGATTTCTGTATTTGCGCTTCATGGGTATGGTAAAGAGGCTTTCGATCTTTTTACAGAGATGGAAGCACTTGGAGTGAGGCCGAACCCTGTGACGTTTGTTGGGTTGTTGTCTGCCTGTGCTCATTCGGGGTTAGTGGAGAAAGGCCAATGGTGTTTTGAAATGATGAAACGTATTTACTCCATTGAGCCGCAAGTCCAACACTATGCTTGCATGGTTGATATACTTAGTAGAGCTGGGCTATTTGATGCGGCAAAAGAGCTTATCAGAAATATGCCAATGGAGCCAGACGTGTTTGTTTGGGGAGCTCTGCTTGGAGGCTGTCAAATGCATGGCAATGTAGATTTAGGAGAAAAGGTTGCACAATACTTGATCGATTTGGAACCTCTAAACCATGCTTTCCATGTTATTTTGTGTGATATATATGCCAAAGCTGGTAGATTTGATGATGTGAAGAGAATTAGAGCTTTTATGAATGATAGAGTGATTACGAAGGCAGTTCCAGGCTGTAGCATGATTGAAATTGATGGCATTGTTCATGAATTCTCTGCGAGAGGATCACCTGAAGTTGCGTTAGAGGATATAAAGCGTGTCTTGAATTGGTTAAGTGATGGGATGAAGATGGAATGGGATGTGATTGATTCCATTAACAATTCTTTATAACAGCTACTTCTATTTTTAAATACACTGTACCTGGTTCAGATGAATTCAGCAATAGATTCATGAAGGCCTTTGATAACTCCAATGTTATTGTATATCGGTGATATGTTGATTGAAGGAAGATTAAGAGCTTTCTTAATGTTGGCTTTGGAAGCAACTCTTGAGCAGAACATGAAAATGGTAGACAATTCTGTTTACAAATTATTCCAGGGCAATAGGGAGCAGATGAAAAATGCGAAGGGTGATGTGAGTAAATTTTACTCTGAAAATAATACTATTTTATTTGTTCATTTATTCAATAATTTACCTGTATTATGGACTAATTCATAGAGAGGGAAAGAAGATATTTCATCAAGGTTTTTGGTGGAGAGTGAAAGATCTGAAGAACATGACTGATAAGTATTTGAGAGATATAACGCCCAATTTTATTCTTTCCTGCAAGGACAACACAGTCGCTTGGTTCTTTTAGATGCCATGTATGTAGGCATCCTTTTGATCATCGGAAGAAGATTGCACAGGAAGTCAACTGTTAGAGAAGCAACTGAAGTTGAGAATAACATATCTACTGATGAATTTGCCAATGGGTTAACTGAAGCAACTGTGGACAAATGCAGTATCCTCATGCAGCACTGATTCAGACTCAGATTATCCTGAAGTTCCTGTGGTAATTCTGCACACCATGAACCAACATATTCATCTGATCCTCTGTAGTTACAACATGGAGTGGCAAAGGGGTCATGGAAAAATAGTCTAATGCATTGTGATTTGGGAGCTTCCTAATACCCTTAAAATTTCTTTTTACACCCATCTCAGGCATAGCAAAACTTGTACTTTATGATGAAAATCCTTGTACCTTAAAGAGAAAGTGGTTGTATAGACAAAAATTAGGTTTGTATTTAGAAATTAGAAGCACCTGTAGGGAATCCAGCTAGTTTCTTCTTTAACCCCCTCCTCCTGCACAGAAAATAGGTGAGCATGGTACTGAGATTTAGACTATGGTCACAAACGTGCAACTTAAATATCAACTCTTCTGTTCTATTTGATTGTGGAAGTCCACCTCTAATGAATCAAACCATATTCACTCATAATTAATAAGTAATTGCTAACATTCTTTTTATAAACTATTAATTTCACTTTCTTTCTGGATGCAGTCTTTGATGTGACGAACTTGTTATCACTTGTGTTTCTCTTTCTCTTTTTATAACTTGTTATGGTGGTGGCAGTAGCCCCATGGCTTTGATATGAAACTAGCATACAAAGTTGTTATTTCTGTACGGAATTCAAAATCCACATTCTTCATGATTCAGGCTTACTTGGTGATGAACATAGTTTTGCACTTCCTAATCTTCAGCGAATGGAAGCTCGGTGTTCATTTCATTCATGGAAAGAGGTAATGAAATGAAAAACTGTTACATTTTCAGATATTAAGTGTGTTTTTATGTGAAAGTTTTTGGTAGGAAAGAAAGTTCAGAAACCAGAATTTGCTTAATCTTTACAACTGTGAATGCAGGATGGAAATATCCTACCTGATGGCTCCAAAATAAAGAAAGGAGATGGCGTAAACTACGTGGCTTATGCCATGGGAAGGATTGCATACTTTTGGGATGCTGAGGAATTCCATCCTTTAAAATTCACTGCATTTCAGGTCAGCAATTGCTTTTCCCTTTCTCGCTCCTTTGACAACATAATGCAATGTTTCTTGATCCCCTAGGAAAGGAATTTGCTTATGGGCAAATGAAAATTTTAGCTTATTTCCTACTCTTCTGCTTCAAATTTGAATTGTGTTCACCCTTCACATTGATAATGGGCTTCATGTGTACACATTTTCGCAGTTATGACTAGAACTTTGCAAGTGTTTGTTGATGGTAGTTTAATTTAGTTTGAATGCAGTTTCACGGAACATGCATAAACCATATCCTTTAATTTGCGTTGTGAATAACTTTAAAATTACTAGGGGCCATATCACAAGTTGTCCCCTTTTAAATTCATTTACAAAATAATCATGACATATCATCTACCCCTTGTTAATTAGATTTTTTGCAAATCTGCAATTATATTTTCAGTCTAGCATTAAACTGTAAGTCTAGTAAAAGAATATGCACTACTGAGAAAATCTTTGTTGGTGTTAATAACATAATTTGTGAACAATTCTAGATTTATTCAAGAAAACCATGCAACTAAAGATTTTTGTTAACTATATTGAACTTTTTAAATTTCTCTATCTATAGGGGTTTTTGGTAATAAGTCCCTCAATTTCAAACTTTATTGCCAAAAGGACAAGCTAAAAACATTTAATTCATTAAGGACAAAGTTTGAAATATTTAAAACATATAACAATAATACCCTCAACTTCTATCATTTTCTTACATTACCACAACCACCATCACCGACCATTGTCTGCCATCGCTGACCATTGCCGGCCACCGTTGATCACTCCAGTCGGCAACGATTTTCTAGCAACCAATGTCGGTTGGCGAAAATTTGCAGATAAGATTCTCCGGTGACAATAAAATTTTACTCTATTAGATAGTAAAATTTTACTTTGTTAACTTGGACGGTAAAATTTTACTATTTACTTTGAACATATAAATAGTGAATTTTTGCCATTGTTATCACTAACCACCACACTTATTATAATTATTACCATTATTCATATAGCTATTAAATGAGAAATCAATCAAAATATTGAATTAATTACATTAACGGTAAAATTTTACTGTTATACAGAGTAAATTTTTTCTTTATATTAGAGTAAAATTTTGCTATTGAATGTACTAAAATAACATTTTCGCTTGAGAGCTCAAAATCAATATTCAAACTGATAATGACAAAAAAAAAAGTACTAAAATAAATAAATAAATATATATATATAGAGAGAGAGAGAGAAATGAAGAAAAAAAGATAGATAGAACACATATATTGCCTCAAATTTGGTTCAAACCAGAGTAAAATTTTACTGTATAAAAAAGGGAATATCATGAGGAGACAGAGAAAGAGACAGAGAGAATATAGATATGATGATAGATCTCAGATATGAATTCTTGGAGGTGAAGGATGATGATGGTGGTTGCCGGAGGTATAGTGGCATCGAATGACATTGGGTTAAGGCGGCGGTGGTGGTGGTGGTGGCGATGACAGTGACGAATGGTACCAGTGGTTGAGACGGTAGTGGTGGAGACGGTGGAGGTGGTGGAAACTATGGTGGTGGTGGTGGTGGTAGTGTAGACAGTGATGGTAGTGGTGCAGAGAGCTCTTAGAAAGCGATAGAGAAAAAGGGCTGAGAGAGAAAGAGAAAGAGAAAGTTGAGACAAATGAAAGGAAAGAAAGAGGAGAAACATAGAGAGAGTGAGTCTGTAAAGGAGTAAATTTGTCACACAATATAAATTTGAAAATTTTTATCCTTACAAGATTTCTTTATTTTGAAGGAATTTATGAGCCAAAAAATTAGAATTTGTCCTTTTCAATGAAAACAGGCGGTAGGAAAGAGTTATGGCCAAAAATTCCTAACTAAAAATTCAATTAGTAAGGCTTCGTTTGGGAACAGGCTAATTTAGTAATTTTTTAACTATTTGGCTAAAATATGAGCTAAAAAAAATTAGTATGTTTAGGATGACTTTTTGGCTTTTTACGAAAAAATGTACAAAAAGTAGAGAGAAAATAGAATCTTTGACTTTTTGGTATGGGTTGTTGACTTTTTGACTAATTTAATAATTTTTTGACTTTTTGATTAAAAATGAGAGTTTCCATACGAGGCCTAAATCCACATTAAATTCAAAATCTCATACGACAAAAATTGTTAAAACTATAAGGCTAAATGTTTTTACTGAACTTTCAACAATAACCACTAATTCCTACTACTAACATCATCACTAATAATATGAAAAGTAAAAAAAATAAAATAAAATAAAATTAAGATACAAAATATATGTGACAATGGATAAAATTTACCGCCACATCATTAGAATAACCTTTAGAAAAATGCTTGGGACCTCTAATTAGAAGTACCAGTAGTAATGTGGACCCACTGCCATATCAGTGTTGTGTCTTGATTTTTTTTAACCTTTTCCACCTTATTAGAAGTGTGTTAGAGCCTCTAAATTAGAGGTCTCTAGCATTGTCCTAACCTTTAAATAGTGGTATGCATTATTTTTCCTGAACTTTTTTACTTCGCCTCAAGGGAAACATGTCAGATATGCACTCCTGTTTGCACTCTATTCGAGAAAGCCAACACATCATCACCCTGCATGTTCTATTTTTCCTGAACTTTTTTACTTCGCCTCAAGGAAAATATGTCAGATATGCACTTCTGTTTGCACTTTATTCGAGAAAGCCAACACACATCATCACCCTGCATGTTCAGTGATTCAATAATGTAGGCTTATCATATTTTTATATTATATTATAGGGTAAATTACAATAACCCCCTTCAACTATGGCCCTTTTACACTGTAATCTCTTGAAATTTAAAATCCAACACTTAACCCCCTTATAATTCTGATCTGTGACATTAAACTCTTCCTATTAATAAACTAGTTTTGGACGGAAAGATGTCATACTAAGAGTATCCACAATGAAATTGTTAAAGGACGTATTAGTGTCAGTTGCTAATATTTTAGTTATTGAATAGTTCAAATAATGTTTTAATGGAGTTGTTAAGGGATGTGTTAGTGTCAGTTATTAGTGTGAGTTGTTAGTTTGTTTGTTAACTGTAGCGAGGCTTATAACCAGTGAAGGAGAGAACGAATGAGAGAGCTGCTAATTTGTTTTTTGGTCTTACAGGTTTACCGGTCGGTTGACCGGTCAACAATAATTTTTTTTTTTTTTTAAACTTTTGGGATTTTTTTTTGGACTAAAAAATTAATTTTGGGCTTGAAATTTTTGATTAAACTAAATTATTTATTTATTTTATTTATTATATACACACACACACACATATATATATATATATATATTTAATACACCACTTAACACATCTATTGCACCACCACTCACTTTCTAAAATTAACAAACTCTTAACACATCTTAACAAATATTTTTGGGCCCTACTTTTATTACTTTTTGTCATATAATACACACCTTAATACACTTTTTTAATCATCCCATTATGGATGGCCCAATGGAGATTTTAAGATTAAAATGTCCCTATTATTTTTTGCCCCTTTTATTTCATAGCCAAACATGATCTCTATATATTTCCCTTCACTTCCCTTTGTATATATCATCAATGGTTATCTGCAACCAACGTTGACTTATTAAACCCAGTAAACTTATGGGTGACCATTACAAAAATCCAACACTCTATTGGCTTGCAACACTGCAATTGCCATGAAGAAAAATTTTGTCTGAGTTGTCTCATTCTGCCATATTCAAGCTTTAAAGGTGGAGATTTCAAGATTTTTTGCTTTAAATCCAACCAACTTGCAAGGGGCAGAGCTTTTACTCCAGGGAAATTAATATACTGGTTTTAGAAAGGCTACGAAAGAAAAGTTACTACACCAAGGTGCCTTTAAAAAAATAAAAAAATAAAAAGACAAACAAAAAAACAAAAAAACAAAACCAAAAAAAAAAAGTAAGAAGAAAAAGAAAAAAAAGGAGACAGCTATGACTTTCTCACTCGGCCCAATTTGATATGTCTAGGAGTGTAATAATGACCTGCGTCCCATGGGCGGTTCAAAACTCGTTCACGACCTGAGGTGGGCCTGACTTATTTCGGCCCAGTTTGGCCAGGGTCTGAGCCCAACCCAAGACCTTGGGCCTGGACCTTCTATTTGAAGCCCGACCCATTGGCTCGGCCCAGCCCAGCTGGCCCTCTCTCCGCTAACGGTCAAATTTCACAAAAACAAAAAAAAATAGAAGGCAAGTTGCAAGCAACCAACGGTTAAATAATTTTAAAAAAATAAAAAAAATAAAGGTTGATCTTGTTGTGCAACAACAATAAATAAATAAATAAAAACAAGATCGGTCATTTCTTTGCAGGGAGGCAGAGTGATGCTTGCCTGCCCTTGCCCTGCAGGGATAGAACTGACTCAAAATTAATTACCAAGATCATTTACCAAGTCAGGAATAGGACTAACTCAAAATCAATTATCAAAATCATCTACCAAGTTGTTTCCTTGCAGGTTGTCAGTGTCGCCTTACCCTTGCCCCCCTTGGGCCTTGCCTTGTCATCATGTCATGCAGCATCATCACTCACGTCATGATTCACTGCAATTTGCAATGAATGAAAGAAAAAATAAATAATAATAATAAAATAAATAATCTACTTATATTTTATTTAATGATATAAATTTTTGTAATATTTTATTTCATTTTAAAATGAAAATTATTTATTCAATAAATATTATATAATTAATTTAACATTGTAATATTAAAAGTTTCATTTTCATATATATTAAATTATTCATTTCAAAAGAAAAAAATCACATAATTGCATATTTTTTTAATTATAAGTTCATAATTAAAAAAACATAAGTCATACATAATTAAATTTAAATATCACCATGAAATATAATCAAACAAAACATCTCATTAATCTTAACTAAAATACACTAGTATAACTTTTTTTTATCCCTAATAAATAATCTACATAGATAATTTATTTATCATTCATTTTTTCAAAAAAAAAGAAAAAAATGACAGGCCCGGCCTGTAGCTCGCGGCCTGAGCCCAGGCCCGCCAACCCTATTTTGAGTGGGTCTGGGCTTGGGCCTAGGCCTCACTTTTCAGCCCATTGGCCGGCCTGGCCTAGCCAGCCAAAAAAGCGAAAGCCCACGAGGTCAACTTGGGCCGGCTCGGGCCATTATTACGTCCCTAAATATGCCCAGTGATGAAATTGTTCCCCGAACTTACATCTCTTTCATTTG